TATATATATAATTAGGTGTAAGCAAAAAGTAAATGAAGCATCACAGAGTTTAGAGTAGGAAAAGACAGAAAAATGATGCGCAGTGTTCAGTGAATTGATATAAACAACTTCAGATATAAGCAGGACCGGACCGCAAGTTCGTTTTACAAGGGGGACACCCATACTATCGACCACCATCTTGTTTTAGTTCAGCTTCGTTGTGAGTCCTCATCTCTCGCTACTGCTGCTGCTTCTGTTGCTGTGGCGGTAGAGAAGCTGCCAGCAGAGGTGAATTAGGCCAAAAAAAACAGAAACTCTAACAGCAATCGCCGCCAATGAAGTGAGATTTAAATAGTATCCAATTGCTTGCAGGAAAATAAACAAGTTCTTTACGACAAGCAAAAGACGCCTGTCAAGCAGCCTTTAGCTGGTAGCCGGAAGTTCCGTTAGCTGGCCACCGCACGTCAATGGTGACTGCCGGAGAATAGAAGCAAAAAAGAGAAAGGAATTTAAGAGAAAACCCTTCATAATATATTTTTGCTTGCTTTCCGTTTCATTCAGAATAACTTTAAAGTTACCTACTTTAGCCATATCTTCTTTGGGCTTGTTAAGGGAAGGTATCTTATATTAGGTGCTTTCTATCTGATTAAATCGAGACGAGTACGAAATGTGGTTTGCTAGCAAAGAGGTTCGGACAGTAAATAGAAGCCACCTACTGCGGGTTGCTACTGCCTCTCTTTCTGCGATGTTTAAGCTAACTTTCTACATTGGCGCTTTTCAACTGTATATCAAGCTGTATCGCTTATGAAAAGAACTTGTCAGTAGTGGATTTTTTCAAGCGTGCGTACAGAGTACATAAACTGTATCAAAGAATAGTTGTAGTTCAAACTCACCGTTTTTTTTTTTCTAAAAAAGTTATGAAGGTCGGCGACATAATTTGTGAACGTTTATTCATGTCCACTTCCTCCTGCTACTATGTCTGTCCTGAATACTACACAACAAGTTTACTGGGGTCCCTTTTGTCGTTTAAGCTTGTTCTCGGAGATTTACTGAGCTAATCTTGCGTTAAACGCATATAAATGGCCAAATATCCTTAGCCTCACCGAATCTCATTTTGTCGAAAGACTTTCCACTTTCGTCTACGATTGTTTCAAGGTAAATTCGCCGGTATCCAATCCTTTGTGCAACGCAGGAACTAGGCTTGAAAGGCTATATATAGGCGGGTAACACTACAGTCTAGTCACAAATCTCGTACGTATTGAATATGGGTTGTGATTCTTTAACGATAGTGATGATAACATTGCGCTTTGGCTATCCAATGGAGAATTTTCTATCTAGGTTGTAGTTAGATCGGGCACGCGATGTTTTCACTCACCAAAGCCGCACATATATTTAAAAGTAGGTTTCAAGAGGTAGCAAGAAGAAGGTAAATAAAAACTTAACTCGGTACGTATAACTATTTATAAATGGAGCGTTAAATCGAATGAAAAAAAAGACAACTTTTTTTTTATTGTCATATTTT